TACTGCAATAACCCAGCTAGACCTTAACCTCAACCATGCCCATGACACTGTTTATGATTAGTGCTCAGAAAAGTGAATGGAATTTGTGCCCATGTGCAGACAGGGTCAACAGATCAATGATCACTTCTGTGGAAGGCACTCATAAAATCTTAAGAGATATGCTATTATAAACATCATGATACAACTGTGGGTGATTTCAAATGTTCTCAGAAAGTCTGATAATACAATACTGGAAGACAACTTCCCATCTGAAAACTTCAAATGGTTTGTGCAATTCCCTCTTAGCTGAATCAGCCAACAGGCTGGATCCTTACAGGAGGAGCTCTTAACTGTCTCTGAGGTTCTTGAAAAACATGGAATGATCCCACTGCTCTCAGATGATTGAAAACTATGAAAAACTAGGTTGTTTCCTACTGAGGGTGAGGGAACAACAGGGAGGGAAATTTTTAAGGCATAAATAATATAAAGGGCACACATCTTAAGATACATTCATAGGACATTACTACTACAAAAAATAAATAATGATTTTCTCTGATTTGAATTAATGTCCTTCACACAGTTCATTCCCAGGCCTGTGTCGTGCAGTTACTGGCTTGAAGTGGGAACGTGACTAGTCACTTGCACAGGCTCAAGTTTCCCGGGGCTGCTGAAGGACCCCTGAAGGGCTGTCTAAAGGAATGCCAGGAGAAGGCCACGCTGTCTCTTCAATACAGTCCTCCGAAGCATGTGACAAAATAAGAGGAGACCGACTTAAAATTTTGTTCTCTGTTTCTGAATGGACACAGCTGTCTCCTGAAAAACAAAGATTTGGGAGCATTACAAAACGGGAAAGGCTGGTTTTCACAAAGTCTAACGACATCACTTTGAGCAATAAAGAAAGAATAATGAGTAAAAGGAGAGCCCAGTTATGCTTAGTTTGAATTTGAAGGAGACAGGTTTAAAAGGCTTAAAATAAAGTTGAGCTCTCATTAATAGTTATACAATTCATCTGAGGGTTAAAGCAAACCCTTTAAAAGCCCCCAAAAAACCACCATCAAGGAAGTCTATAACCGCAGAATCAAGTGAAACAAAAAAGAAGTCTATGATCACCAAATGCATTCTTTCAGCAAGTCCACTGTTCAAGTTCAGAATGAATCAAAACCTGTTTGGATTTATTTCCCAAAATGTAATGGGATTAACAGCTGAGTTGTGACTAATAACAAAATTTCAAATTCTTAACTAATTCATTTTTTTGAGGTATCCAATACTCCCACCCAGTATCTAAGAAATATGTGAGCTGATCAGAGACAGAATGCTCTGAAAGCATCAACTTGCCTTACTAGAGCTGTTAGCTAACTCAAGACTATCTAGAAACTTAAGATTTATAATGTCTCCCTGTACCTCTGTTGAACTCTGCTGTATGTTCCGTGCAATCAGAGTTGATTTCATTTCTATTGTCCTGACAGCAAGTGTGCTGAGCAGGTCTTGAAGCCGCATCATCTTTGATGCTCTCCTCAGGTGACTGGCCATAGTCCGGGACTGTGGAAGCCACACAAACAGGCATCTTCATGTGACTGAGGGGCTTCATTTCCAAACCATCCTGAGGATAAGGTGCTACCACTGGGACCACAGGAAGGGTGCTGCTGCTGAAAGTGCTTGGTTTGGTGAAACACCTACAAAGGGTAAACCAAAGGAAACAGAATTGTGTCTGGAGGGCTCAGTAATTAAAATACACTTATTTTGAAATATTATTTGGTATTTTGTAATCACAGATTCTTAAGACTGGTGCTTAAAAATAACTAAATGATTCACTATGATTTGAAACATCAAGAACACAAAAATTACGAAGTGGAATATAAAAGAAGAATGCATCGAGAGGCAACCCACGTAATAGAAAAACCTCTAGCCAGACTTATCAAACTGAATTAAAAAATACATCAAAAAGATCATCCATCATGATCAAATGGGATGTATTCCAGGGATGCAAGGATGGTACAATACTTGTAAATCCACCAATATCGCACACCACATTAACAAAAAGGATAAAAACCACATGATCGTCTCAATAGATGCTGAAAAAGTATTTGACAAAATTCAACATCCATTCACAAGAGTGTACACACATAAACAGAGTCAGAAATGGAGAAGGAATAATCACAATGGATACTGCAGAAATACAAAGAATTATTAGAAATACTATGAAAAATTATATGCCAATAAATTGGACAACTCAGAAGAAATGGGCAACTTCCTAGAAAAATACAATCTTCCAGGACTGACCCAGGAAGAAACAGAAAATCAGAACAATTACCAGCAATGAAATTGAACTAGTATTCAAAAAACTCCTCTAAAACAAAACTCCATATCCAGACGGCTTCACAGCCAAATTCTACCAAATATTTAAAGAAATAGTACCAATCCTTCCAAAAGCATTCCAAAAAGTAGAAGAGGGAATATTTTCAAACTCATTCTAGCTTAGTTTGAATTTGAAGGAGACAGGTTTAAAAGGCTTAAAATAAAGTTGAGCTCTCATTAATAGTTATACAATTCATCTGAGGGTTAAAGCAAACCCTTTAAAAGCCCCCAAAAAACCACCATCAAGGAAGTCTATAACCGCAGAATCAAGTGAAACAAAAAAGAAGTCTATGATCACCAAATGCATTCTTTCAGCAAGTCCACTGTTCAAGTTCAGAATGAATCAAAACCTGTTTGGATTTATTTCCCAAAATGTAATGGGATTAACAGCTGAGTTGTGACTAATAACAAAATTTCAAATTCTTAACTAATTCATTTTTTTGAGGTATCCAATACTCCCACCCAGTATCTAAGAAATATGTGAGCTGATCAGAGACAGAATGCTCTGAAAGCATCAACTTGCCTTACTAGAGCTGTTAGCTAACTCAAGACTATCTAGAAACTTAAGATTTATAATGTCTCCCTGTACCTCTGTTGAACTCTGCTGTATGTTCCGTGCAATCAGAGTTGATTTCATTTCTATTGTCCTGACAGCAAGTGTGCTGAGCAGGTCTTGAAGCCGCATCATCTTTGATGCTCTCCTCAGGTGACTGGCCATAGTCCGGGACTGTGGAAGCCACACAAACAGGCATCTTCATGTGACTGAGGGGCTTCATTTCCAAACCATCCTGAGGATAAGGTGCTACCACTGGGACCACAGGAAGGGTGCTGCTGCTGAAAGTGCTTGGTTTGGTGAAACACCTACAAAGGGTAAACCAAAGGAAACAGAATTGTGTCTGGAGGGCTCAGTAATTAAAATACACTTATTTTGAAATATTATTTGGTATTTTGTAATCACAGATTCTTAAGACTGGTGCTTAAAAATAACTAAATGATTCACTATGATTTGAAACATCAAGAACACAAAAATTACGAAGTGGAATATAAAAGAAGAATGCATCGAGAGGCAACCCACGTAATAGAAAAACCTCTAGCCAGACTTATCAAACTGAATTAAAAAATACATCAAAAAGATCATCCATCATGATCAAATGGGATGTATTCCAGGGATGCAAGGATGGTACAATACTTGTAAATCCACCAATATCGCACACCACATTAACAAAAAGGATAAAAACCACATGATCGTCTCAATAGATGCTGAAAAAGTATTTGACAAAATTCAACATCCATTCACAAGAGTGTACACACATAAACAGAGTCAGAAATGGAGAAGGAATAATCACAATGGATACTGCAGAAATACAAAGAATTATTAGAAATACTATGAAAAATTATATGCCAATAAATTGGACAACTCAGAAGAAATGGGCAACTTCCTAGAAAAATACAATCTTCCAGGACTGACCCAGGAAGAAACAGAAAATCAGAACAATTACCAGCAATGAAATTGAACTAGTATTCAAAAAACTCCTCTAAAACAAAACTCCATATCCAGACGGCTTCACAGCCAAATTCTACCAAATATTTAAAGAAATAGTACCAATCCTTCCAAAAGCATTCCAAAAAGTAGAAGAGGGAATATTTTCAAACTCATTCTATGAGACCAGCATCACTTTAATAACAAAACCAAACACATTATTAAAAAAATTAGTCCAATATCCCTGATGAACATAGATTTAAAAAAAATCCTCAACAAAATATTAGCCAACTGAATTCCAAAATACATAAAAAAGATCATCCATCATGAACAAGTGGGATTTATTTCCAGGGATGCAAGGATGATACAATACTTGTAAATCCATCAATGTCAAAAAGAAGGTTAAAAACCACATGATCATCTCAATAGATGATGAAAAAGCATTTGACAAAATTCAATATCCATTAATGATAAAAACTCCCAACAAAATGGGTATAGAAGGTACATAACTCAACATGATAAAGGCCATATATGACAAACCCACAGCCAACATCATACTTAATAGCAAAAAGCTGAAAGCTTTTCCTTTAAGATCAGGAAAAAAGGATGCCCACTCTCACCACTTTTATTCAACATAGTACTGAAGGTCCTAGCCATGGCAATCAGCAAAACAAAGAGATAAAAGGCAGCCAATTTCTTAAGGAAGAGGTTAAACTCTATTTGCAAATGACATATATACATAGAAAACCCTAAAGACTCCACCAAAGAACTACTAGAACCAATAACTGAATTCAGCAAAGTTGAGGATACAAAATTAATACACATAAATCTGTGTCATTCCTATATACTGACAATGAACTAGTAGAAAGAGAAATCAGGAAGACAACTCCACATACAATTGCATCTAAAATAATAAAATACCTAGGAATAAACCTAACCAAGGAGGTAAAAGACCTATACTCTGAAAACTACAAGACACTCATAAGAGAAATTAAAGAAGACACTGAAAACATGGAAATGTATCCCATGCTCATGGATAGGAAGACTTAATATTGTCAAAATGGCCATCGTGCCCAAAGCAATTTACAAATTCAATGCAATCCCAATCAAAGTACCAATAGCATTCTTCAGTGAGCTAGAACGGTTCTAAAATTCATATGGAACCACAAAATACCCCGAATAGCCAAAGCAATTCTGAGAAGAACAAAGCTGGGGGGATTACGCTCCCTGACTTCAAACTCTACCACAAAGCAACAGTAATCAAAACAATTTTGTACTGGCAAAAGAACAGACCCATAGACCAGTGGAACAGAATAGAGACCCCAGATATAAACCCATGCATCTATGGTCAATTAATATATGATAAAAGAGCCATGAATACACAATGGGGAAAAAACAGTCTCTTTAATAACTGGTGGTGGCAAAACTGGACAGCTACATGTAAGAGAATGCAACTGGATCATTGTCTAACTCCATACACAAAAGTAACTCAAAATGGATCAAAGACCTGAATGTAAATCATGAAACCATAAAACTAAAACATAGACAAATATCTCTCGAATATAAACATGAGTAACTTTTTCCTGAACACATCTCCTCAGGCAAGGGAAACAAAATAAAAAATGAACAAATGGGACTACATCAAACTTAAAAGCTTCTGTACAACAAAGTACACCACCAACAGAACATCCTAGAGTATGGGAGAATATATTCATTAACAATTCATCTGATAAGGGGTTAACATCCAAAGTATATTAAAAAACTCATATGCCTCAACACCCAAAAAACAACCTGATCAAAAAATGAGCAGAGGACCTGAACAGACACTTCTCCAAAGAGATAAAAATGGCCAACAGGCACATGAAAAGATGTTCCACATCATTAATCATCAGGGGGATGCAAATTAAAACCACAATGAGATATCATCCCACACTAGTTAGAATGACCACTATCCAAAAGACAATAAATAAAAATGCTGGCAAGGTCGCAGAGAAATAGGAACCTTCCTACACTGTTGTTGGGACTGCAAATTGGTGCAACTGCACCAATTTGGTGGAAAGCAGTACGGAGGTTCATCAAAAAAATAAAAATAGAAATACCATATGACCCAGTAATTCCACTCCTAGGAATTTCCTAAAGAAAAGAAAATCCATGATTCAAAAAGATATATGCACCCCTGTTTATCACTGCATTGTTTGCAATAGCTAAGATATGGAAGCAACCTAAGTATCCATCAATAGATGAATGGGTAAAGAAGATGTGGCAAATATACACAACAAAATACTATTCAGCCATAAAAAGAAAAGCAATCCTGCCATTTGCAACAACATGGATGGATCTAGAGGGTATTACGCTCAGTGAAATAAACCAGGCAAAGACAAATACCATGATTTCACTGCTCTGTGGAATATAAAAACAAAGCAAAACAGAAGGAATAAAACAGCATTACACTTACCAACACAGAAGTGACTAGTAGTTACCAAGGGGGAGGGGTGTGGGAGGGGGACTGAACCACTGTGACACACATTTGATAAAATTTTTAAAAAGACAGGCAACCCACTTAAGAATGGAACTGTATATTATGACCTATATCCCACATGCTTCCTTTGTCTTAGTACACTGTGAGAAGTTGACTCCCATTTCATAATTAACTGGCTAACAGAAGGTAAAGGCCATTAGCCACTGGAGGGAATGAGGGAGAAAAAGAGGAAGAAGAGGGCAGAAAGCTAAGAAACTCACAGCCACATGAGAGAAATGACCTTATGAAAGGTTTGAAATAGTATGTTCCCTCTCAACCTTGGAAGAACTACTATAATGATTAGACATTCAAAATCCAGGTTTTGTTTATTTCTCCATTTTTTTCTTTGCAGAATGAGTTGCTAGAATTAGCATGAACATTCACTTCAATTCTGCCCTTTTATTTCCTTCTTCCACCTAAAATATGTGTGTTAATTTTTTTCTTTTCTTCAGATGGGATCATTTCTTTTGATCTTCTAGTTCATTGCTCTTTCTTCTGTTGTCTCTAATATGCTATTAAGTCCATCCAGTAAACTTTCCATTCCAGTCCTTATACTTTTCAGCTTTGGAATTTCCATTTGATTTCTTCTATGTTTCCTTTCTCTGCTGAAATTCTCCATATGCAAATTCATTGTGTGTAATATACAACTTTAAGTCCTTGAACATATTTAAACAGCTGCTTTAAAGTTACTGCTAATTGTCACCTGCGTCATCCCAGGGTCTGTTTTTATTGACTTTTTCCCCTTTGAGTGTGTTGAATTTTTCTATTTCTTCACATGTATAGTAATTTTTTAAACTGGATTTTTCCCTCCAATTTTTGGTTGTTCTGCTGGCCTCTTCTGTTTGGGTCCTTGACCCAAGATTGGAGAATGCCCTCAGGCAAAAACCCATAAACAAATGTCACCCATTGTCTTTCAAGGTTAGATTTATTCAGCTCCTGACTTCTTCTGGTTACTCTCCAATACTTTCAAATTCTGAAATTTCAAATTTCATCATTATTACCTGTGGACATTCAAGCTATTCCACCATTAAAAGAAGCGGGAATCTCAGAAATATATTTTTTATTTCTAAAATTGGAGTAAGAAAAGTCTGGATAAGGCAGGTTAGGTAGGAAACACATAGGACTGACCAAATAGTACACTGAAACTGGGCAATGTTAAGAAATAAAGGTAAGAATTCTTTGGATTTCCATCCTTGTAACATGGGATGGTGTGTTTCCGGGATGTATGAAAAATCAGAGAAGGAAGTCCATGCAACAGTTACTGGCATCTCTGTTGGTTCAAGTTATTGGAAACGCCAAATGCCAAGCATGAAGAAAGAGCTGGGCCTGAAAGAGAGGAAGATATTTGTCAGTAAACCAAATTATTAATTTAGGTGAGTCCAACTTTAATTACAAATAGAGAAGTAGACTCACTATACAATTAGTGGAATTCAGACACCAGTAATATGGAAGGAAAGCAAAGTATGTCAGTTATTCATTTGTACAGAGTAGTTTGAGTACAGTATTACCTAATGTGACTGTAATTTTAACTTTTAATAATAGAGCAAAAAATATATACCTGATTCAAATAAAACCTAAGTATTTCCATGAATGTCTTAAGCCAATAAAAAGTGAAGGAAGCACTGGTGTACAAGGAAGGTTGCTGGAGTCAGAATCAGAGCCCTGGGCTAGATGGATTCTGACTTCAGGAGAGGATGGCATTCCTTAATTTGTTCTGGTATACATTTTATTCAACTTTAAAAATTTTTCTATTTTCTGGGATGCTGCAAAGGTAAGCATTAATCTGAGAGCCATTTAAAAATATCAATGTTGTCAGTCTCTTTCCATCTTGTATTTTGTCATTGGTCTCTTCCATAGCCTCCA